CAGTATGGATTACACTTCAATATAAAGAAAACAAAAATCCTCACAACTGGACCAATAAGCAGCATCACAATAAATGGAGAAAAGACTGAAGTTGTCAAAGACTTCATATTATTTGGCTTTACAATCAACACTAATGGAAGCCACAGTCAAGATATCAGACTATGTATAGCATTGGGCAAATCAGATGCAAAAGACCTCTTTCAAGTGCTGAAGAGCAAAGATATCTCTTTGAAGACTAAGATGCACCTGACACAAGCCATGGTATTTTTCAATCACCTCATATGCATGTGAGAGCTGGACAATGAATAGGGAAGACCAAAGAAGAGTTGATGCTTTTGAGTTGTAGTGCTGGCGAAGAATACTGAATGTACTATGGACTGCTAAAAGAACTAACAAATCCGTCCTGGAAGAAGTGCAGCTGGAATGCTCCTTGGAAGTGAGAATGGCCAGACTTCATCTCACCTACTTTGGTCATGTTGTCAGAAGAGACCACACCCTGAAGAAGTACATCATGCTTGGTAAAGTGGAGGGTCAACGAAAAAGGGGAAGGCCCTCAATAAGATGGACTGACACAGTGGGTACAACAATGGGCTCAGGTATAGCAAGGATCATGGCACTAGCACAGGACCAAGAAGTATTTCATTCTGCTGTACATAGGGTTGCTATGAGTTGGAGACAACTCAACAGTACCTAACAACAACAATAACAAATCAACTTGGGGGACAGAGGAAGAGGAAGACAGAGAGAGGTACACAAGAAGCCAGACAACAAAAATAAACCCTTTTACATATACAACACTGCGTTGTCAGTGATAACAAACATTAATCTATGGGTAACTAGATGGAGACAGGTTGAATCATCAAGTATGTTTAGGGAAAAGGGAATATACTGATGACTATATATAAGGTTGGCAGATGATATTTCTACATATATATTTGTATGTGCTGTAAGAATGTCCAGATATATAATAGAGCTAACAAAGGGCAAAGTTATGATAACTTCTTGGCCACAGCCAACCACCCTGAGAGAGTGAGTAGTTGGACCTGTGGGCTTGGGACCATGGTTGCAGGGGACATCAAGCTCAATTGGCATAACATATTACACAAAAACATTGTTCTACATCCTACTTTGGTGAGTGGTAACTGGGGTCTTAAAAGCTTTCAAGTGGCCATCTAGATGCAACAATGGGTCTCTCCTCATCAGAGCAAAGAGGAATGAGGAAAACCAAAGATGCACAGAATAAGTTCAAGGGACTGGCAGATCATGTGGTCCTCAGCCTATATGACCATGAGACCAGAAGAACTAGATGGTGCCTGGCTACCACTGTCAACCAGTTGGATATGAATCAGTGAAGGAGTTCCTGGATAGAGTGGGAGTACAATGTGGAACAGAACTCAAATTCACACACACACACACACACACACACACACACACACACAATCCAGTTTACTGGTCTGATAGAGCCTAATGAGACCCCTAAGGCTATGGCCCCTAATTACCCTTCAAGTCTGGTACTGAACTCACTCCTGTGGCTTCCAGCCAAACATCAGACAAGCATACAGGGTGATCATTTACATCAGGTAGACATATTCCTTAGAGTGATCAAGGTCAATTATGGGAGAACAGAAGGGCAGTGCTTGCACAGTGAGATAGCTCAAGGGGCAGGAATGCATAAGGAAGAAGGACACAGGGAAGAGGTAACTACAGGGAGGAAGTGGGAAGAGAGCTGCTACCCTGTGGGGAATTGCAATCAATGTCATGAAACAAAATGCATATGAACTGCTGTATGGAAAATGAATTTGCTCTGTAAACTTTCACCCAAATCACAATGATTACATTAAATTATTATTATTAAATTAGAAAAGAAAAAAGGAAGAAAAGACCAAAATGGATGTCAGAAGAGAGCCTGAAACTTGCTCTTGAATATAGAGTAACTAAAGCGAATAGAAGAAATGGCAAGATAAAAGAGCTGAACAGAAGATTTCAAGGAGCAGCTCGAGAAGACAAAGTCAATTACTACAATGAAATGTACAAAGACCTGGAGTTAGAAAACCAAAAGGGAAGAACACACTTGGCCTTTCTGAAGCTGAAAGAACTGAAGAAAAAATTGAAGACTCCAGTTGCAATATTGAAAGATTGTGTGGGCAAAATATTGAATGCTGCAGGAGGCATCAAAAGAAGATGGAAGGAATACACAGAGTCACTGTACAAAAAAGAATTGGTTGATGTTCATCTATTTCAGAAGATGGCATATGATCAAGGACCAATCGTATTACAGGAAGAAATAAAAACTGTACTGAAGGATGACGCAATACTCATTGAGATGTTTCAACAAATGGATGCCACACCAGAGGCACTTAGTTGTGTTTGCCAAGAAATTTAGAAGACAGCTCCCTGGCCAACTGACTGGAAGAGATCCATATTTGTACCCATTCCAAAGAAAGGTGATCCTACAGAATGTGGAAGTTATCGAACAATATCATTAATACCACAAGCAAGTAAAATTTTGCTGAAGATAATTAAAAAATGGTTGTAGTATATTCACAGGGAACTGCCAGAAATGAAAGCTGGATTCAGGAGAGGACATGGAAAGATGGATATCATTGCTGATGTCAGACGGATCTTGGCTGAAAGCAAAGAATACCAGAAAGATATTTACTTGTGTTTTATTGATTATTATAAAAGCATGTGACTGTGTGGATCATAACAAAATATGGATAACATTGAGAAGAATGGGAATACCAGAACACTTAATTGTGCTCATGAGGAATTTATACATAGGCCAGGAGACAGTCGTTCTAGCAGAACAAGGAAATATTGCATGATTTAAAATCAGGAAGGGTGTATGTATAGGTTCACCATACTTATTCAATCTGTACGCTAAGAAAATAATCTGAGAAGATGGATGTTTTGGTTACCTAGTGCTGCTCAGACAGGAATATACCACAAATGGGATGGCTTTAACAAACAGGAGTCTATTCTTACAATTTTTAGAGGCTAGAAGTCCGAGTTTCAAGTGCCGGGCTCTAGGGGCTGTGTGAAAGCCCCTTGACCATGGGCTTCAGCTCTGCCTCTTGCTCCTGGCCCACTGAAGCTAGAGGCATCTCTTCACTCAGGCAGCTACCGGCTGCTGAGGCTAAGCCCAAGGTTGACAAATACAATGACACAGTCCCTATGTTACTAAACAACATGGCAGGCCATTGATTCAAGTCCATTGAAAGTCCCAAGATCAGCACAGCATGCCAGGCTGCTGAACAATGGCTCAGCTATATGCAGGGTTCAAGTATGCCATGAGCTAGAGGCCGTTCCTGAAGCTGCTTCTTATATACGGGAAGCAGACCACATCCCTAAAGCAGCTACTCAGCTGCTCACAGTAGATCCCACCATGGAGTTGATTGCCAGTCTCATCATGGGGAATAACTACCACCAGCTGCCCAGACACTCAACCAGGCCCAGCCAAGTTGACATACAACCTTTACCACACGGAACTATATGAAGCAGAAAGTGGCATCAGGATTGGAGGAAGACTCATTAACACCTGTGATATGCAGAAGACACAATATTGCTTGCTGAAAGTGAAGATAACTTGAAGCAATGACTGATAAACATCAAAGACTTGGATTCAGTAATGGATTGCACCTAAAGAAACCAAAATTTCTCACAACTGGACCAATAAGGAACATTGTGATAAATGCAGAAAAGATTGAAGTCAAGGATTTCATTTTACTTGGATCCACAATCCATGCTCATGGATGCAGCAGCCATGAAATCAAATGATGTGTTGCATTGAGAAAATACACTGCAAGAGATCTCTGTAAAGTGTTAAAGAGCAAAGATGTCACTTTGAAGACTAACATGCACCTGACCCAATCCATGGTATTTTCAATTGCCTCATATGCCTGTGAATGCTGGACAATGAATAAGGAAGATCACAGAAGAATTGATAAATTTGAATTGTGGCATTGGTGAAGAATATTGAATATACCATGGACTTCCAGAAGAATGAATAAACCTGTTTTGGAAAAAGTACAGCCAGAATGCTCCTTACAAGCAAGAATAGCCAGATTTTGTCTCTTGTGCTTTGGTCATGTTATCGTAAGTGGTAAGTCCCTACAGAAGGATATCATGCTTGGTAAAGTAGAGGGTCAGTGAAAAAGGGGAAGACCCTCAACCAGATGGATTGACCCAGTGACTGCAACTATTGGTTCAAGCACAGCAAGGATTATGAGGATGGTGCAGGGCCAGGCAGTATTTTGTTCATAGAGTGCTATGAGTCGGAACCAACTTGATGACCCACAACAACAGTCTTTAGGTTATATAACATTCCTTCTTGAGCCATAGTAGTTTTTCCCAGCTCTATTTCTTTCCCTATATCTTCTTGTTGTTATTGTTAGGTGCCGTCGAGTCAGACCTGACTCATAGCAACCCCTCCTTGGGTTGCCGAGGCAGTATCACTATGAAAGTAGATTGCCCAACCTTCCTTCTGAGGAGTGGCTGGTGGGTTTGAATCACCAGCCTTCTGGTTAGCAGTCAAGTGCCTTAGGCACTATGCTACCAGAGCTCCTAAATCTTAGATCATACTAAACTGGACTACTCCAGACACCTCTCTCACGACACACGTAAACTGTGACTTTCTCAATCTCCACTGTGGATGAGGAAGGACATTGCTACCAAGGCACTGTAGTTCAGAAGCTGGAATGTCAAAGGTAAGCCAAGAAGTTCAGATTTCCCAGCCAAGCCTCCTGGTCAGCAATCTTCATCCTTTTACCATTCTGGTGCTTCATACTTACAGTATCTTCTCTTGCATATGTTCAATTACAGCCATTGCCTCCAGATATTTATTCTTTTGGGTCGGTATACCCCGATTAGCTGCTTCTCTCTGGCAAAGGAAATATGTGATATGAATGAACTGAGAGTGTCAGCAAATAATACTCTTCTTCTTTAGGATGTTCTGAGTCAAGCCTTTCAGAATATTCTTTTCCTATGATCCATATCTATCTAAGTAGATGATTAAACACTTTCTTAACACCAAAAATGCATAGAGATTATCGCCAAATTATTCATTCTAAAGGTGGACATAAAGTTGATAAGAGTTATAAAGAAGAGGGAGAGAAAACAATAACAAAGAAAGAAGCAGGGAAAGAAGAAAAGGTTTAAAATATAAAGGGGAAGGTAAACAAGTTTCTATAATAAATCAAGTTAAATATCAAGCAAATTATATCTTATTATTAATTATTGATTTCATTAAGAATATAGCATTGCAAAATCCAATAAAATCTTTACATTCCTTAGGAAAGTCTATAAGTAAGTTAAAGGTGTAAATATAGCCACATAGTGAAAAAAAAAAACAAAAAAAACTGCTATCATTTATAGCAACACTAGATATATTCCTGAAAAGAAAGAAAGAAAAAAAGAGAGGCAGGTGAAAGACAAAATTTAGAGGACAGAAATCACAAGTATACTTTAAAAATGAATATTATAACATTTTTCCAGAAGTGTGTACTTTTGAAATCTCATTTTTCCATGTTTTGCAATCAGAGGAAAGTAAAAGGTAAACTCCACATTAGAGATGTAAAGGGAGCTCTAGTGTTGGCAGCTGCCTAATCATAGAATAACCTACTGGGCTAAAGCACAACCCAAATCAAGGCTTCATCCTCAGTCACACATTCCATCATCCTAGAGTACCTTTTTCTAAAAGGAAAAAAGAAAAGTTATGGTACGCATTTTCACTTTTATTCTTGCTCTTTTACTCTCTTCTTTCTTATTTTCTCAGTCATATATTTTTGCCTTTCTGTTTTGTTGTCCCTGTTTTGTGTAACTTGAATAGTAAATGCTATTGTTGTTCAATCTCATCCAGCAACATATGACATGATTGTGCCTATAAAGCACATGCTACTAACTTACTTGTTCTTTGAATACAAAATAAAGGTTTCCAAACAGAAGGCTCTAGAACTATAATTCCACACACGTGGGCCATAAAGTAAATCAGTATTAGATACTGTTAACTATGTACATTGAGCCTTCTGACTCTCTCCTTACTCATTCAATAGATACATACTGAGTTACAATGTGCAATGTAAACATTCCTGTTTTGATACTGGCAAGTACAGATAAATGCTTTGTTGTCCATTCCAAAACCTTCAACAGGAAATTGCCACAGTATGAAATGCTAGACATTGGGCTTCTAGCATTATAGTGTCTTCTTCTATGTGTGCCAGGTGACAACCACCCATGCACAATTCATATTCCTGACCTCAGACCAGTCCAAAGGCACTTCATTATCTGGGTGTCAGATCCCCAAGTATCAACCTTGTCTTCATTGGCCTAGCACAATCAGGCCACCACCTGGTGATTCCTTTCTACCTATGCAGTGCTCCAGCTACCACTCCACAGATGAAGGAGATTTTTCTTTATCTCCAGGAACCTGAAAGTAATTGTACACCTGGACAGCATTTTGGTCTACTCCCCAGACCTATGGCCAATGATAATCTAAACAGTTGGTCTTTAGTGATTGTCAGCAGCAGCAGCAATAACTTTTTGAAAGCCTGAAGACAGAATTTCTGTACCATACCCTCCTCAGCTGGGCTATTCACATGGTGCCAGACAAATATCAGCATCCTGGAGCGGAGAGCACATACAACATTGAAGACATGAGACAGGTGTTCAATTTTGCCCCAGGCTGCAGGTGACTATTTTTCTGTCTGCCTAAATGCTCAGCCTGGATAGTATAGCTGGGTTCTTACCTCAGGGGTGCTAGTCTGAAGCAGGAAAGATACGGTGGGACTGGTGAGGGTTTAGCAAAGAAAAAGGTGCCAAAGCCTTGGTTTCCCCTTTTTTCATGTCTCTTGACATCCCATTCATACTGCTTTCTTTCACATCTTTACCTTATAGTCTTGAAGACATTTAAAAACTTGTTGAACAGGCACTGCTTTGCAAAAATGTGCTTGTGTGGAGCAACTCTTCTGCCCATCCATATCCCTGCCCCAATTTTAATGGCTTCTACCTGACTCTCCAATGGTTTCTCCCAGACTTCCCTAGTAGGGTTGGATCTTATTTCCTACAACCTCTCTGGACAAACATCCCTTGCAATTTGCTTCTACTTTGAGCCATGCTTCCATCTTAGTGATCTAGCTGCCATCCACCAGTACCATCCCTCCCCACAACTCCTACCCCTACATACACAGCACTTCCTACTCAAATGGATCAGATTTCTAACAATAAAATGGTTCTTAACTTTGGAGATTGAGATATTTGATGAAATCTCTGGGCCCTGCACCCCCTAAGAAAATGCACAGTATGAACATGTGCATAAAACGTTGCATACAATTTTAGGGGATTAACAGGATGAGGCCCATTCATGTACTGCTAAAGTTAAGATATTTTGTAAAGTCTAGATATCAATCTAGAAGTGACTTAAATCTACTTGATTCCAGCATTTTCTGTAGAATAATTTAAAATCTGATTTCCTGCTGAGTTTCTATAGCTAAAGGTTTCAGTTTGGTTTCCAATTTCTCAATAATTCTTGTGGTTGGAGATGGCTGCTAATTACAGTCCTCAATAAAGTCTTCTGAATCAATATATTAAAAATATTGACCATAAGGATTGTTAAGGAATAAGTGAAATGTTAATATTAAAATGAGACCTAAAAAAGTGAATAGGAAGTTTTTGCAAAGCTCAGGTAAGAAAATGAGAGTTTTCCAGGGAAGAGGCTAGGAAAAAAAAAAAAATCTGTAATATACATTACTTAGGACGCCTGGTCTTCTTGGAGAAGCTAAAAGTTCTATTAAGGACTTGTACCAGGTACTCATAATATTAAACAGTTTTGAATTTCAAAGTTGGGTTTTAGATACATACCCAGGTAGTCAATATATCTTTTCCAAACAGAGCTTTGGTATGAACATTTTCATCTATTCCAATGGCTCGAATGAGTGGTTCACTCTCTGTAGATGTTGAAGGTTTCTGGGTATAGAAACATCAAGGACCTATTAGTGAGCTGCTTGCTGAGTGACACAGTGGCATGTCAAGTCATGTGGTACCATGTTTGAAATTTTAATTTTCTGTTTGCTAATCATTCAAAAAGCATTTTTTGAAGACTTACCTGTAGCAAACACAGTATGAGAAATTGGTGAGAGTGGGGAGTGGGCACGAAGGGAAATAACTGTGGGGAAAATAGTGAAGATTTATTCCAGAGATCAGAACTGTAGGAAAGACAGACAAGAAAATAAATAATTATGACAAAATATGATTACTGCTACCATAGAGGTATGTCCCAAGAGCTGTGAGCACTCAGAGGAGGGCCTTTCACTCTGCTGGACATTCAGGGAAGAGAGCAAGTCTAGCATGTGCAAATTCCTAGAGGTGGAAAGATCCAGCATGTTTGGAGCCAGGAGAAAGTGACTGGCTAGGTTCAATTGTGAAAACTTGGTTTTCTGCACTAAGCAATTTAAAGTTTTCCTCATGTTAAAACCAACAGAGATTTCTAAAATGAGAAAGAAAGTATAAGATAAAGCTCCTGGCAGCAAGGAAGGTAGATTGGAGAGGGCAGAGATGCTCGGCCTAGTGGGAGGCTGAGTAAAACCCCAGGCAAAAGAAGAAAATGTCCTGAACAAAGGCAACAACAGGATGAGAGGAGGGTATATATTACACATTTAAAAGGTATGACAGCATTTAGTGACCAAGTTTCCATTTATTCAGTGTCTTCTATATGCCAAGCACTGAGTCAGCTACTTTGCATTCATGGTCTCATCTCAGCCCTCACAACAATCCTGCAAGGGTGGCAAATGAAGAGACCAAGGCTCACAGGTTTTAAATAATTTTTCACATGTGGCAAAGTCCAGATTTGAATCCAAGTCTGGCTGACTCTAGGTCCATGCTCTTTCAAATATTGTCTCCCAAATAGGTGTGAATAAAGAGGGAAAGGACTTAAAAAGTCTATAGTATTTGAGTGGAGGACAAGCTAGCCTACAGATGCAGAGTGTCAAAGTGATAAACCAAGTATAGCATTTAAGTAAAGAAAGGGAACAAGGCTGGAAATGGAAGACAAAGCCCAAGGTGAGGAACTCAGGGTACTAGAAGAGAATAGAAGCAAAGTCTAGAAACAAAGCAAGGAGGAGCCTGATAAATGCTTCAGACAGAGTGGAGGTTTGCTTTAATGGTTATCAGATGCTGCATGCTTGGTTGGGTTGGGCTGACATACCCAGGTAGTCAATAAATAAGGTACAGAGTGAGAGTAGCCATCAATATCTTCCTTCACATTGGCTTCTCATCAAACACCTGGACCAGATACCTCCTAGGGTTTATCTTCCAGTGGTGCCTTCCTAAGCTGGGAAGCAGCCTCCTTTGACTTCTCAAGTCTATCCCTTTTCCACTTTGTATTGTCTCCTCAGCCACTTCCCCATCTTGACTTGTTGGTACTAATATTGGAAGTGAAAGCTGGGAATGAAGGTGGGTCAGGCATAATAGGAAGCTGGAAAAGACTGAGTTTAAAATCTCTAGGACCTTGAATGAGCCAAGAAGAATTTACAATCCAGTCCTGGGAGTAAGCGGGTCATGGCTGAGGACTTGAGGAGAAATGTTATGATTTGGATTAGCTCAGGAGGTTAATGGGAGAGGGACCTTAAGAAGGGCTCAGCTGGTGTTGAAGATCATAAATATTGGTGACACCAACATACCTGGTTATGTAACTCTTTAATAACTCTCAGAGGAGTAGACAAGACTAAAAGGAGGCAAGGGGAAGGATGACTAGATTGCTGAAAGAGGTAGGGTATAGTAGAGTAAATGTGGGGAGGAATAATGGGTCTAGTGATTTGTGAAACTGGCAAAAAGGAGACTGAAATGATATACCATGGAGTCTATCTGCTTAGGGAATAGAAAAATAAAGGTTTGAAAATTAGCAGAAAATAGGAGAATAAAGGGATTGATTAGAGTCAAAGAATAAGGTGTTAGGGGAGGAAAGGGATGAAAATTTTGGAAGAATGGCAGGTTTCAATGAGAAATTTAAGATTTCAGAAGTGGACAATTTCTGGATAATAAGGTCAAGAATGTGACTGAGGTAAAGTGGTTGTAAAAATCACTAAAGTTATAGTAGATGTTTGTTATTTTCAGTAATGGGAAAGTATCACCAAATGTAGGTAGAGTCGGCACAACTCAACCAAGGTAAATGATGTCCCTAAGCAGTACACAAGAATAAAGGATATTTTGGTAAATCCAAACAAACAAACAAAACAATGCCATTGAGTTGATTTGACTTATGGAGACCTCTCCTTGGGTTTCTGAGGTGGTATCTCTATGGAAGTAGATTGCCCAATCTTCCTGGTGAGTTTGAACCACCAGCCTTCTGATTAGCAGTTAAATGCCTTAGCCACTACACTACCAGAGCTCCCTTTGGTAAATGCTATAACATATAATTTTGCAACAACAACCAAAAAATTATGTGTGTGGGTAAGTATGTGTGAATATTCGCTTGTTACTGATTGACATGGTTAGGTTCCAAAGCCTAGATCATTATGATGTGAAAATTGGCATTAGGCAAAAATGAAGGATGACCACATCATATCACAAAATGGAGGAAGACTACAACATTACATAGCTTCCAAATTATACCATTACAGAGCCACTAAACCACTGAGAATCATGGCCTAGCCAGGTTGACACATAACCTTAACCATCACAGTGAGCATTATTCTCACTTAACGTTCTGGCATTCATTACTGCCAGATTACACCATTCATGTGCAAAATAGTCAGATAGTAGGTTTGATACTATTGCTATAAATGTGAAATGTTGGATAATGAGGCAGTTGATAAGTGAAGAGTTGTTGTTGTTGTTGTTTTGCCGTCGAGTCGGCCCCGACTCATAGCGACCCCTCCTTGGGTTTCCGAGGCGGTATCACTACGGAAGTAGGATTGCCCAACCTTCCTTCTGAGGAGTGGCTGGTGGGTTTGAACCGCCAGCCTTCTGGTTAGCAGTCAAGTGCCTTAGGCACTATGCTACCAGAGTGAAGAGTAGGTGTATATATATGTGTGCATCTATAGGTTTATATATAAGCATATATACATACATGTATGTGTATGCTGCATATAAATTCAAATACATAACAAAGTACATAGGAAGCCTAGCTATAGATACTTCTTAGACATAATCAAACATCTCATGGGATTGGTTTACTGGATTTAAAGGCTTGGGACCATAGTCTCACAAGACAATTCAGTCAATTGGCATAATATAGTTCATACTATACATCCTAGTTTGGTGAGTAGTGTCTTAGGTCTTAAAAAGCTTGTTGAGTGGCCATCTAAGTTACAACTATTGGTCTCTACTTGTCTGAAGCAAAAGAGAAAGGAGGACACCAAGGACTCAAAGAAGGAACTAATCTATAGGACTAATAGCCTACATGGGAGCTCTGGTAGCATAGTGGCTAAGGCACTTGACTGCTAACCAGAAGGCTGGCGGTTCAAACCCACCAGCCACTCCTCGGAAGGAAGGTTGGGCAATCCTACTTCCGTAGTGATACTGCCTCGGAAACCCAAGGAGGGGTCGCTATGAGTCGGGGCCGACTCGACGGCACATAACAATAGCCTACATGATCCATGGTCTCACCTGCCCCGAGATCAGAAGAACTAGATGGTGCCTGGCTACCACTATCATTCTCATCAGGGATATCCTAGATAGATGCTGATAGAATAGGAGAAAAATATAGAACATAATTCACATTCCAGAGTTAGTGGACCAGTTGAGACTAGAGGAAACCCTGAAATTATTGCCTTAAAATACTCTTTAAACTTTGAACTGAAACTATTCCCAGAAGTCATCTTTCATCGAAATGACGTATTGGGCTCATAAAACAAATAATATCACCAGTGAGAGCTGTGACTCTTTTTTTTTGTTTTTTTTTAAAAATCACCCATATGAGACTAAATAGTCAACATTTATTCTAAAGCAAAGATGACAAGGTAACGAGGAGGGTGGGCAAGGAAACTAGGTGGAACAACCAGAATGGAAACAATGAGAATGTTGACACACTAGAAAATATAACCAGTGTCATCAAACAAATTGTATAATAAAAATTGTTAAATGGTAACTTAATTTTCTATGCAAACTTTCACTGAAAACACCCTGCCTTTGAGTTGATTCTGACTCAGAGTGAGCCCCATTGGATTTCTGAGGCAGTAAATCTTTGTGGAAGTAAAGGTAGTCTGCCTTCCACAGAGTGGCTGGTGGGTTTGAACCAACAACCTTCTGGTTAGCGGTCAAATGCCTTAGGTATTATGACATCAGAGCTCCTTATACCTACACCTACCTACCTACCTACATACACACATACATATATATATATATGTTGTTGTTGTTTGCCGTTGAGTCGGACCTGACTCATAGTGACCCCTCCTTGGGTTTCCAAGGCAGTATCACTATGGAAGTAGATTGCCCAACCTTCCTTCCTAGGAGTGGCTGGTGGGTTTGAACCGCCTGTCTTCTGGTTAGCAGTCAGGTGCCTTAGGTACTATGCTACCAGAGCCTATATACACACACACACACACACACACACACACACACACACATACAGTCACTGGATTTGTATACTCAAGGAATTAGGGTTCTGGATAGATCCAACATATAGGCAACAAAGTTGCCTAAAATGGTACTTGTACTTGGGGTAGAGAAGAAGATAAAGACAACGACTCTAACAAATATAGGAAATGATCATCAATAGCTACCAGCATTAATAATATTGACAAGGAGGATTGGCAGGTGGAATAACAAATGGGATAAGCCTCAAAGGAGGAGGAAGGAAAGTAACAAAGAAAAAAAGATAGACATTTTTATTGTGAAATAAAACATACAGAAAATGTTGGTTAAAGAAGCTTGGGTGTTATATAAGACTTCTGTTCTGTTGTCCTGCATGTGAAGGAACCCTGGTGGCACAGTGGTTAAGGACTCTGCTGCTAACTGAAGTTCAGCAATTTGAACCCACCAATTACTCTGCAGGAGAAAGTCTGGCAGTTGGCTTCCATAAATATTTACAGCTTTGGACACTGGGGCAGTTCTACTCTGTCCTATAGGGTCACTATGAGTCAGCATTGACTCAACAGCAACATTTAAATTATATGCAGAGAAGAAAACTCAAGGAAGTAAATTAAGATATCGCATAAAGAGTTAGAAAGTGATCATGAGTCTTGGAAGCCAAAGACAGTAGTAGTAAATACAGGAATTAGCAAGGGTTCTTGTGCCAGACTTACTTGGGATGGAATATTGGCTTGGCCCTTTATAGCTATATGATTTTGGGTAAGTTAGTCAACCTCTCTGGGCTTCAGGTTTTCCTATCTATAAAATGTGGACAATAATATCTATCTTGAAGGTATGTTGTGTAGATAAAAGATAACATGTGCAAAGCATACAGTTCATAGTCGGCTCTCAATTAGAGGTAGTTACCACTGTATTTTCATTATTTTTATTATTATTATTATTATTATTACAAATGCCCCAGCAGGGGTGGAGACAAGGTAAAGGAGGAAAAATATGGTGATAAGGATGAAAGGGAAGGGAGAAAGAAGCCCAGAATAGGATCTGAAGAAGTAGAGACATGGAGTTTAAACTATTATTTGAAAAATTTAGTGATGAAAAGAAAACAGTATCAGTATGAGAGGTAGATTATGTAGTTAATGGGAGAGTGGGTATAAATGAAGCTAAAGGGAAATGGCTGGATGTAGAACGGGAAAAGGATATCCCTTCTGAAATAAAGTGAAAACCAAAAACCAAACCCACTGTCATTGAGTCAATTCTGACTCATAGTCAGGACAGAGTAGAACTGCATCACTGGGTTTCCAAGTCTGTAAATCTTTATGGGAGTAGGCTGTCACCTCTTTGTCCCACGAGCCCCTGGGGCTTTCAGTTAGCAGTAGGGTATTTAACCACTGTGTCACCAGAGCTCCGTAGGTAAGTACACCTGAAGATTTAGTTAAAATAGAAAAGAAGTTGAAAGAGTTCACTTCAGATGACCTATTTCTAGACAGTTCTAGGCAGATGTCCTATTTCTATTTTCCACAGTACCTATATATATTCTTTAAAAAGTGAAAAATAAATACTAAATAATCTTACCTCTTCTATTTTCTCTTTTTCCTTTATTTCCTGCCTTTCTCCATCTTCTTTAAAAGGTTTGTCTAATTCAGGCTCAATGTACTGTGAGATAAAGCAATATTATAATTAGAGCTTGGTGTATATAAATTTAGTATATATACATATTCTAGGACTATATCAGAAGTAATTTATTTAAATATATACAAAGTGCATAATACTGCAACTGGGTACTGTGCTAATGATAAAGAGACAAAGGTTAATAAAAGTAGTCCCTGCCCTTAAGAAGCTTACAACTTAGTGAACAAGAAAATGCTATGGATACACAGAATCACATAAATCACAAAGAAAGAACATTTAATCTAGACCTGAAAGTAGACAAGGATGAAAAAGGGGGTTGGTTTGCCAGGAAGGTTTCCTGGAGGAGATAACGTCTGAATTTCTTCTTGGAAGATGAGTAAGGGAAAGAAGATGTCACAAGGGAGTTTGAGGTAGTGGGTGTTGTATGTGCATGATAGGTTCTAAGAACAAAATTAGTTCAGTAGCACAGAAACACAATAATAGAGGGAGGGCTAGACTGTTATACCAAGGAGATTGGATTTTAATGTGAAGGCAATGAAGTATCAATAAATTTATTGATCTGTTTTGGATTTTAGAACAGTCACTTTAGCAATAGAATAGATTCAAAGAGGAAGGAAGAAGGAAAGGAGAAAGCAAGAGGGAGGAAGGAGGGGAGGAGAAAAAGACAGAAGGAGGAAATGAACTACACAGTGGTTGCAGAAATGAAGAAAATGGAGATTTAAGAAATATGTAGAAGGTAACTCTTAGTGGCGATTGGATGGATTTGGGGTGGTTAGGGGAAGGAAGCATCTTGAATGATACCTTTTTAATGGTTTAGGTCACTAGATAGATGGTGATGTCATTCACAGATAGAAAATACAAAGCGAGATAAACAAGCTTAGGAAGAAAGAGTTCATGTTAGGTCATCCAGGCTTAAGCTACCACTGAGACATTCAAGTGGAAATATCTAGAAAGCAGCTGGATATACGGATCTGGAGTTTAGTTGGAGGGTCTGAGCTAAAGATAGAGATTTGACAGTTATCTGCATTTAGTTGAATCCAACAAAGCAAATTATTAGATCACCAAAGAAGAATTTATGAAGCGACAAGGCCTTAGGACAGGATCTTAGTTACATAAAAGGGCTAGGGAATAAAGAGGAACCTGAACAGGAGGCAAAGAGTAACCTCAAAAGTCTGAGGAATGTTATCAGGAGAGCCAAGAGAGGAGTCAAAAGTGTTGAATACCTCAAAGGAGCCTATTCAAATATTAAGATTGAAAATGTCTTTGGATGTTTATTGTAACAATATTTGAAAAGCAAAAGCTAGAATTAAATGCATTTCTTATAACAGGAAAATGTTTAATTATACTATGGTATAAACCCAAAACAAAATATTTTGTAGCATTTTAAAATTATGTTGTGGAAATACACATATGGCATAGAAAAATATCCACAATATATTAGAATATTTTTCTAAAATATAATATTTTTTCCTGATAACATATGATTGCTACAAAATATTAAAATCTCAACTCTCAGAGGTAACAACTTCTATAATTTTTGTTAATATTCTTCCAGAATGCTTTATGCATACATATTTTAACATAAATGAGATCATCATATATGTTGCATTCTATAATCTGCTTTTTTCAGTAATATATCATGGATCATCTTTATCTCACTACATAAGCATCTATACAATATAAACGTCTGCACAGAATCCTATTATATGAATGGATCATAATTTAACAAATTATGGTACAAAGCCCCTACTGATCAACATTTATATTATTTTTAGTCTTTTGCTATTATAAATAATGTTGTAATTAACATCCTTACATAGATATATATTAGATTTATGTATTTATATATATTTAGAATTATCATATATATTATAAAAGTTATATTTAACATGTTTAAAGAAATAATAGAGATGGAAAGTATGAGTAGAGAGCAAAAGATGATAAAAATGATGAGACTTAAAAATAACCAAATAGAGTTTAAATAATTGAATTTAAAAACTCAACATAAATGTTGAACAGTAGATTAGACTCAGCTAAAGAGCACATTGTTGTTGTTGTTGTTGTTATGTGCCGTCGAGTCGGCCCCGACTCATAGCGACCCCTCCTTGGGTTTCCGAGGCAGTATCACTACAGAAGTAGGATTGCCCAACCTTCCTGGTGGGTTTGAACCACCAGCCTTCTGGTTAGCAGTCAAGTGCTTTTAGCCGCTATGCTACCAGAGCTCCTAAAGAGCACATTAGTGAACTGGAAAATAAACCAGAATAAATTATCCAGGATGCAATGCAAGGTGGCAAAGGGGCAGAAAATACGAAAGAAGGTTAAGAAACATGGGAACAGAGGCCAACGTATATGCATTCAGAGTTCCAGAAGGAAAAAAGAGAAAGGATATAGTCAAGGCAAGATTTGAAGAATGATGACTTAGAATTTTCCAGGTCTAATGAAAGATACTTAGCCAAAGATTCAGGAAACCAAATTAATCCTAAGAAAAATTAAAAAAAGAAAAAAAGAGAAAATCCACAACCAGATGCATTAGAGGAAAATTATAAAGATCAGAAAAGTAGATTTTAAAAGTAATAAGATCTTAAATGTAGCCAGAGAGAAGATATGGAGGAACTTCCAAGGAATTGACCAACAACTTCCCAATCATCAGTCTGGTAACAATAAAATTCATAACATGCTAAGAGAGGATAACACCATCCTATAACTGTATATCCAGAAAAAAAAAAAAAAAACTTTAAAGGATGACAGTGAAATGAAGATATTTTCAGACAACCAAACAGTGACTTTGCCACCAGTAGACAGATCCTCATTAAAGAAAATCTGAAGAATCAGATAGAAAGAAAATGATCCCAGGTGAAAGATTTGAGATGTCTGAAGGAGTAATAAACTAAATTAAGGATAAATAACTCCAGTGAAAGCATATTCTTTAAAGGTAAGTCAGTAATACATTCCTGCTAGTAAAAAAGAAGACAAATATGTATGCTATCTCTACTATTTAACACAGAATTGGAAGCATTACTTCATGAAATTAGACAAAAAAAAAAAAAAAAAAAAAAAGCAATTAGAGGCATGAGAATTTGTAAGAAAGAGATAAAACTACTTCTATTTGTAGATAATTTTATTAAGTACCTGGAGAGCCCAAATGAATCAATAAAAAAAAAAACTGCTAACAGAAATAAGACAGTCACAGTATATAAAATTAAAATACAGAAATCAGTAACATATATACAAACAATTACCAGTTAGAAAATATAATAGAAAAGAAGGCCCAATTTAAAATAGAAAAAAGTGAAGTAAAATGCCCAACCAAATAAGAAACGTACAAAGTTAACAACTGCAAAACATTATTGAAAGACATAAAAGTAGGCATCCTATTTCCCACATGCTTGGACAGAGCAACTCAACATCATAAACACGTCTATTCTAAGTCAATATATATAAATTTAATGTTATCCAAGGTTTTCAAAAATCATATTTTTTCTAGAGCTAGATTATAAAATTATATAGAAGAATATGTAAGCAAGAATAGTGATGAAACACCTGGAAAAGATCAATGTAAGGAGCACTGGCCCTACCAGTTATTAAAATGTGTCATAAAGCCTCAATAATTAAAAGTGCGGGAAATGGCCAGTGAATAGAGAGATCAATGGAAAATAATTAAAAATTCCAAAAATAGATTTAAGCTGAAAATGGCTATTTCAAATGCTGAAAGTACTATCATATGGAAGGAAAATGGATCAGCTTTGTTCATATCAACCCAAAAGACCCAGTCTTTTCTACCAGTGAGCAGGAAAAGCTACAAGCAAATATATTTGAATAGAAAGAATAATGTTCTAACAGTCTAAACCAAAAATATGTGGTTTATCTCTCAAAGTACTTACTTAGTTCCCTGTCATTTCAGATATTCAGACTTAGGCATAATAACCAACTGTGGGTGTTATACTAGGCTTTATGCATTAGATGGTAGTAAAATTCCTCTGTTCTAAAGGCTTTACAATTTTATATAAGTTCTCAATTTTTTTTTCTAGATCTGATATGTAGCCAAGATCATGTCTGTGGTCCTTCATTAAATTTCTAAAACTATACTATGATTTATGATTTGTAACACTGATGACAACTAAAGATTTGTTCATTGGTCAATTCAAAATAACTCTGACCAAGATCTGTGTATAATCTTTAAAGGTGGTATTTCTTTAGTGTTTAAATATATATATTTTTTAAATTCCACATATGTATAGGGAAAAAAACCTTACATTTTAAATCAAAGGAACAATATATATGCCATCAGATGATGCCAGTATAGCTTATGGCTCTGACAGCAATGTCAGTCGCCCTTAGAGACTGAAGTTTAAGAAAAAAACAAAAAAACTGGGACTGTGATTAAGTGCATGATATCCGATGATTTAGGATTCTCAGGAAACAAGCGGTAGTTAAAAACCACAGAACTAACACAATACTAATGCAGGGTTTAGAATGAGAAGTGAAAGCAAGCCAAGGCCAGAGGTAGGAGATTTAAAAGAGAGGGAAGAGAAATAAAAAAGTAGAAGGAAAACTAGGGAAGTTTTGTCTTTTAGGGAGAGATTTAAAAAGGAGTGAATGGTTAACAGGGTAGATTGCAACAGGGAAGTCAAGTTAAATATGGGATTCGTGACATAAGCAATCATTGGTGATCTTATAATTGTAGTTTGAAGAAAAGTGACTGTGATGGAGAGGAATGAGAAAGACGTAGTAGAGGAGACAAGATCAAGGCATGGAGAAATGAGCATACTTACAGACTGTTTATAGGTCGGTAAGATGGAAGATAATGAAGACACAAAAGGGACAGGATATCATGGATGGAGTTAAGTGCTCAAAGGAAGAAATACCCTTAGATGGGAAAATTGAGACTATACAAGAGGAAGGAAGGGTGAGGGCAGAAGCAGAGTCTATGGATTTGCCTCAGAAAGTAGCAGGGAGCTCCCATTTGAAAGCTATTCCTTCCTTATGAAATAGGTGGTAAAATCGTTCTCTTAGAAAGTTTTGTTTGGGTGGATGATTCTCTTCCTTAGGAGAGAGATGAACCACCAATACACACCCTTCCCTCTTTTGACAGAGTAAGTGAACAGAGATTCAGAACACTGACTAGAAAAAGTCACTGAACTCTTACCTACTGCAATACAGGAAAAGAATGTGAATAATGAATGACCAGGGTAACACATAGCAAATACCTCATCTCCAAATAGTTGTTCTACCTCATGGGGCTGCAATAACACTACTTTTCTGCCTTTGAGTTCGGAGAGGAGAAGACCGCATGTATTGATCCAATCATAACATTCTCTCTGAGAAGAAATAAAAGATAATTACTAAGCAGAAAAAAATCAGATTATACTAACTCATTCACTCACTCCAATTGAGGAGCTACTATTACAATTCATCTAAATATTCCTCCATGCAATCATCTTGTATGAGTTTAATTAAAAAATTTGTACAGAGGTGACCATTTATGAATATAGAATTAAATCATATCACTTCTTACTGACAGGTTTTGGAATCTGCGTTGTAATGAGGTAAGAAGTGCTAAGCACCATAAAACCAGATGCAGAAGGACTGACTGTTCAGTTTACTAAGGCCTACATGGTCTGCCCCCAATAAATTTATGCAATTAGGCAACTGTGATCACATAATAATGGCATACACTTGCATGGCACTTAATTATATGCCAGTCTCTAAGCATGGTACATATATTGCCTCATTTGATTCTCCACATGAGGTATGTACGTATTATTATCATCCTCATTTTTAAGATGAGGATATTGAAGAATAGAGCAGTTAAATATTTTGCCCAATGCTTTGTATATATAGTTAACCATGGCACTTGGATTCTAATCCAGGCAGCCTGTACTCTTAACTACTACAAAATATGACATACACAACTCCAATAAAACAAATGATTACTGATTTGAAACAGTTTTGGAAAAGGTGCTAATCCCTTATCTACTGAGATAAAAGAAAGACATACAGCAGGACTCATCCAACTACATTTCTTTGCAAAAATCTCCTAACAGTTAAAATGTGGTTTCAATTTAAAAAAATACATTATTTCTTGTTAGTGAGTAAATGCAGAGGAAATAAGGAAAGATTCCTTCCCTGGGAAAGGAATCTGGTGACTTAAACCATTACAAAACTGTACTATGTAATGAAATAATGACCCTCTTAAGATCCCTAAAATCAACCACAAAGAACAGTAATATGTCTTATATTTCTCTCATCATTACATTTATTTTTAATTATGGAATTATTAAGAAATGTCAGAGCCAAAAAGTCTTAAAAATCAAATCTAAACCCTTTATATTATAGATAAGGAAACCAATGCCTACAGAGGTAAGACTACAGAATCCCTGGGTGGTGAAAATGGTTAACGTGCTGAGCTGCTAACCAAAATGCTGGAGGTTCAAGTCCCTCCAGAGGCTCCAAAAAAGAAAGACATGGTGATCTACTTCCAAAAAATCAGCCATTGAAAAGTCTATGAAGCATAGTTCTACTGTGACACACATAGAGTCACCATGATTTGGAGTAGATTAGATGACAACTGGTTGGTTTTACATTGCTCACAGTTTTGTTAACAGTGCAGATAAGTTCAAATTCTAGATTCAAAGGTTTGGATGATGTCTCATAAATGTTTGTTAAAGCTACCATAAATGGGTAGCTTTAAGAAACAGGCATTTATTCTCTTACAGAATTCTCTTGATATGCAATGCATATCAGAAAGAGTACTGTATCTCAAAGTAATCTACAGATACAATGCAATGCCAATTCAAATTCAACAGCATTCTTTACAGAAATGGAAAAACTAATACTCAATTTTGTAAGACAAGAGACCCCAAACAGCCAAAGCAATTTTGAAGAAGAAGAAAGTAGGAGGTATCAAAACATCTTACATAGCTACAGTAATCAAAACAGCTTGATGCTGGTCTAATGACAGACACAAAGACCAATGGAATAGAATTGAAAATCCAGAAATAAATCAAACATCTATGATCAACTAATTTTTGAAAAGGGAACTAAATCCATCCAATGGAGAAGGAATAGTCTCTTCAATAAATGGTGTTGGCAAAACTGGATTTCCACATGCAGGAAAATGAAACAAGATCCCTATTTGATGCCATACACAAAAATTAATTCAAAATGGATCAAAAACCTAAGCCTTAAATATAAAACCATAAAGTTCTTGGAAGGAAATATAGAAACAATGCTTTGGGACCTAATTTTCAATGATAGATTATCATATATAACAAAGAATGCATGAACAACAGAAAACAACACAGATAACTGGGACCTCAAAAAAGTTAAATACATATGTTCATCAAAAGACTTTATCAAAAGAATAAAGAAATAATCTACAGACTGGGGAAAAGACTAAGTGACAAGATGGAAGAATAGGCAGACAAGCTACCCAGATTGGTTTTGGTTACCTAGTGCCATTCTAACAGAAATACCATAAATGGGTAGCTTTAACAAACAGGCATTTATTCTCTTACAGTTTTGGAGGCTAGAAGTCCGAGTTCAAAGTGCCAGGCTCTAGGGGCTGGGTAAAAGCCCCTTGACCTTGGGCTTCAGCTCTGCCTTTTGTTCCCAGACCACTGAAGCCAGAAGCTTTTCTTCACTCAGGCAGCTGGTGGCTGCTGAGGCCGACAAACCCGAGGTCGACAAGTGAAAAGGCACTGTCCCAATGTTGCCAAACAACATGGCAGGCCACTAATTCAAGTCCAGAAGAAATCCCAAGATCAGCAGGGTGTGGCAGGCTATTGAACAATGACTTCGCCACATGTAGGGTTCAAGTATGCCAAAAACCTAGAGATCTTCTGTAAGGCCACAGTAAGGAGAAAAGGACGCACAAAAGTGAGGTTAAAGAGAAGTTTTTATTCTGAGTTTCCAGGGGAGGTTTACGGGCCCCCGAGAGGGGCCCGGGCGAGGTTCACGGGTCCCTGAGAGGGGCCCGGGAAGTCGCACCACCTGGCTGGGGAGGGGAGGGTTTATAGTCTTGTGGAGGACCTAAGCGGGGACACTAAGGAAATAGTGGGGTCCAATTAGCTGTTAGTATGGGTCTGCACTTAATTAGCATGAGGGGACTTCACAAGAGGAAGTTGCCACTGCATGGGACTTTCCAGTCTGGGCGGGTTCTGTTACTTCCGTTGTCTTATCAGGCTGTCTCATCAGGGCTTGACGCCCGGAGGAAGCTGCTAACTGAAATGTTGGTAGCTTGGATTTGCTTCGACCTAACATTTTCCTCAAAGTTGCTTCTTATATACTAGAAGCAGACCACATCTCTAAAGCTGCTACTCAGCTGCTCCAGTAGATTTCACCATGGATCTAATTGAGAATCTCACATGGGGAATAACTACATCCAGCTGCCTAGCCACTCAACCAGGCCCAGCCAAGTTGACAACAACCTTAACTACCACACAGACCCTCTACAACAAACCCTGAAACCCTGAGCTTTGAAGGAAAGGATAAAGAAAGGGATTAAATACCAACTAGTAGAAGAAACTGAATGAAAACAGTGAATAAGGAGAGACACAGAGCTGTGGACTGTTGACTGGCCTGATGGCAAGGGCATTTTGAATATTTGCTAGTGGCATTCTGATCAGGGCAACAACCTGATAATCAGCTCCACTTGACAAGGACTGCATGGGCACCCACATTGGTGTGGTTGCCAACCAGAAAGGTGTAGCATTCCCATTGTACCTCACACCCTCCCAGTGAACAGGCCATCCTCCACCTCACCAACCTTCTGGACTGGCAGGAATTCCATCCTGGACCAGGTGTCCTGCTCCCAGCTGCCTTTTGGGACAGCAGAAGCTTTATCTGGAACAAGACTTGCTTCCTATAGCTGCTTTTTGGGCTGGGAGGAACTTCTTCTGGAACCAGGTACCAGGCTCCCAGCCACCTACTGGTCCAGCAGGAACTTTTTTTGAGTCCAAGTGCCCTGCCCCCACATGCCTTCTGTGTAGACAGGAACTAATTGTGAGATCAGGCGCTCTCCCAGCCACTTTTTAGGCTGGCAGGAACAGGCATACTACTTCCAGCTGCCTTTTGAGCAGCAGGAACTTCTTCCACATCCAGAAGCCTTGCCCCAGATACTTTGCAGGCTAGCAGGAATTCCTTCTGGGACAGGCACTCTGCCTCCAGCTATCTTTTGGGCCAGCAGAAACTGCTTCCAGAATCAGATGCCCTGCTTCCCAAGGTCTGCTCAGCCAGCAGGAACACCACCCAGGTACCCTGCTCCCCATTTTCTCTTTTTAAAAAATGTTTTTTCCCTTCTTTCTTTTTTCTTTTCTTGCTCTTCCCTGATTCTTGCCCTTTCCTGTTCTTATTTCTTTTTTCATTCCCTCTGTTTTTAGCATCCCTTGTTTTTCTTTTTGTATTTTTCTTTACTATTCTCTTTCTCTTGCTTTTGTTTCTTTTTCTCCTCCCCAGACATTGTTTTTTCTTTCTTTTTTCTGTCTGTATTTCTCATTTTCTTTGCTTTTTTTTTTATTGCAGTGTCTTAATGTACCTTTTTTTTTTTTTTTT